AAATTGTCCAATCAGTTCTAAATCTTTTACCATCAATATCAGTATATACAAAGATTTCTAAATCGATGCATCAGCTACCACGTTTGCTTTACCCGAATGGTAATTCAATTCAAAACCATAATCCTTCAGAAGTCCCAATTATTTCCTCTTATGTACTTTAAGTTTCCTTAAAGAATAACTAAAACTCGCTGATGTTGCACTTAACATACCTCCTAATCTTATCAACAAAGAATCACAAAACACAACAAATAGTTCGGTCGGATTCGGCAAAAATCAACACACAAGCTGTTGACAGCTCTCCCAAAAACTCTTTGAAACTCTCTTCACAGTGGCATATAACCGCTTCTTCTCCAACACTGATAACTCATGTTTCCGATGTTCAATATGATCCTCTATACTATTTGAATATATCAAAATATCATCGATTAATACAACCATTGACTCGCTCAAATAAGTATCGAAAATCCCATGCCAAACGGACACTCAATTCGTGAGTTATGGCGGAAACACGAACCACACTTTCTGCATTAACTACAAAATACGAATATAGTCCATCAATAAATAACTTAATTCCATGCCACTACTTCACCATCACATAGAGCATTAGAATAGTTTTCCAATGCTTCGAACCGTGTGCCATTCTGAGTTACAGTTCTCCCGCTATGACAAAAATACGAAAACAACATTCTTCTGCCCAGGACCTTTCGCTAGGCGAACGCTCGGCGAACATGACAGTCCAAATTCTATTTTCGACCGTTGAATGACTTTCGTATCTCCGATTTCGATTTCGTAAAAAGCTGCAACCTCGGAATTCAACGTACAACATCAATTTCACACTTAGGAAGCCATCCAACACATTTTCAACTTCGAAATATTTTAAACCTCAAGTACACCAATATTGCATTCCACGCCCGACCTCTTCTCACAATCACCAGAAATCATTGTCCAGCATGTACTCGACCTCACCATTTGCTGCCTTAGCACACACATCAGACACAAGTCTCAAAACTACTCAATCAATTTAATTCCTCGACCATTCAAACAGACATATAATGTAGAGCTCTCAATATCAGACTAGTTTCCGTAACATAGCCAATCACAACTCCACTTCACATTCCGGCGGTAAATCACTTATCTCATCAGGAAAAACTCTGGACAATAACAATTAATTGGCAAACCACCAACTTCCCCATTTTCATTAACACTCAAAGTTTCCATCAAAATAAACATCTCATTACCTTCTCGCACCAACTCATCAAAGCAATTCTTAAGCACTTAGCTTAACTCAAAACAAATCACTGCCCACGCCATTCAAGCTTGCAAGACACGTCTATCCCATCCAACATAATCCCAACTACTATCAACAACAGATTAAGGCTGATCAGTTCCTCAATTTATCAATAGACAGCCGAAAATCATGATGGGGTATAAACCATCTTTACCAACTATAAGAGCATTCAACCACCCAGTGAGCTACAACTTCACGCTTGCAGCATCCTGGAGAAGCAAAAATTCTCCCCCACTTGTTTCATTCCCACTTCTGCAGACAAAGGTTAGGCAACAAACATGTACCGACAGTGTTTTCACACACATGTCGCATACCAGGGAACAACAACATTAGACAACTTGGTCGGACGGACCGACCTGCTCTGATACCACTAATGTAACACCCTTATTCTACCCCACAGATATTACGGTAAAATAACACGGATTTCAGAGTAAAATATTAACTTTCATTAAAAAGCCACAAAGGGCGTACATTTCTCAAAGTCAACAAAATTGGTCAATACTCCGTAACACACGGGTTTTCTCAAAATATATCAAAACATCATATACAGCGGAACTCAAAACATAACTCAATGTTTTCCTCATAAGGGAACATCAGTAAAATAACCTAATGATATACGATCAACTCAAAGAATCCAACCCGATGTTACATATCAGAGCAAGACCCTCTACATTAACCATAAGGCTAACGACTCTAAAACGTCACAATACTCCTCGATGGCGTCCACGGCTAAACTTGTTCATCTGCACATTACCCACGTGGAGGTAACATTCAAACAGGAAGGGTGAGTAAGACAATTCATAATAATCAATGTATAAAAATTAATGCATAAACGGTATATTACTCATAATTATATTCAACACATTGATATTCTTCAATTATGCCTCAAAGGCCACAATGTCATAATTATACACAAAGGCTCATAAATGCAAATGCAACATAGACTCAATGCATGTGGTACCAATCATCACAGCTCGATGGACACTAGGCCATCATCCCTCCATAGATCCCCATCAATAGGATCGGAGCACATCAAAATACTTCACATCCACACAGTGGGATTGAAGTCAAAGTAACCGAGGTCCTGAACCGAAGTTCGGATGCACATGAATGCATGATGCACACTTCACAATAATCCTCATAATAACAGCATATGGTGCATCATCATTCATCATATTCATCATCATTACACGTCATATCTCATCGTCATATTCATCATCATAAATCATGTCATCATAGCTCATCGTAACAATCATCATCATACATCATGTTATCATAGCTCATCGTAACAATCATCATCATACATCATGTTATCATATCTCATCACAGTAATCATCATTATACAACATATCATCATATTTCATCACATTAATCATCATACAACATATCATTATAGTCCATCATATTAATTAATCTCACACATCATGTCATCATATAATCCCGTATAAATCACATATTAGCTCATAGTCATTTTATTCCATATTACCCCATATTAATTCATAGTACTACCCTCATATCATCTCAAATTAATTTATCAAGTTATACTCACGGTAATCCCCACACTATCGCCTATCAATCACATAAACTTCACAGTTCTACTCATGTTAATTCATCATATTATCACAGTTACCCTCATGGTAATTCATCAGGAAAATCGCAGCCTCAAAACATCAAGACATCCTTGAACCAGAACATGATTCATTAATAGAACATATACAGAATTGACTTCTCAAACATAATTAGATATAAAAATATTGGGAAAAAAATTCTCTTATCTATGCTATGTTATAGCTCTGTTTATTAGCTTTCCAACTCTTCGAACGGGGGTCAAAACAGACTTACGGATCAAAAGTTACGTCCAAAACAATTTCGACCAAAAACATGAACAGTCGTGACAAACAGAAAGACGCTGTTACGCTCCGAAACTGATTTTTACTCAATTATTCTTACGAATCACTCACTCAACGTACCCAAAACATCACTAAAACATTCCTAAGGTTATATGGCAATAACAACACAACTTCTATGGTTTATTAGGCTCATCTGACAACATTTGCAACGCCTAAAACACTATTTCCTGCAATTACTCTGAGTACTTCAGAGTTACTCACATATGAACATTCCTATTCCTACAGGGTCAAACATATCACAATCCGAGGTTTTGGCCACGAAGGCAAAAATCATTATTTCTCATCTCTACACTCAAAGGGTCAAGAATACTAACCACTAACCTCTAGGGTCTACCGTAAATTTCCTTACAATTGCTCCGAAGGCATCGTAATTTCAAATATCAAATATTCTATCTCATATGGGCAGACATATAACGATCTAAGGTTTTGGCCACAAAGGCCTAAGGTTTCCTTTCTCATATCAATATTCAGTGTTACATACCATTGACCATAACCTCAAAGCCTTATCACCAATTTCCCTATTTTCCCATAACCAACCCAAATACCTTAAATCTTAAATCAACCATAAACACACCGAAAGGCATACATGGAAAATCATGAAATGCGATACTCCCCATACCTTAGTCGATTTGCAGATTTCACGATTAATCTTTGGGATCTTCTGCTTCCAGCCTTTCCTTCAGAGCTCTGGCCACAAACTTTCACGTTAAACACAAAATGAAATCTGATTACTCAATTTTGTTTAACTTAGTCTTGGGCCTCACAAATTGGGCTTTTCCCATAACACCCTTACTAACTCTTCATAATGCTTAATTTACCCTTATTTCCCTTATATTCATTTTAATAATAATAATACTAATATTCTCATATAGTATACTATTAATTAAATAAATAGTCCAACATGCACATCTTCTCAATAATTCCCAAAACCACCGAAAACACCAAAAATACGAATATTCTCAATTAAATAAATTAATTAAAATATTCCGATTAAATTTGGGGTGTTACAAAAGGTCTCTGTAAATTTCTTTATTGACCCACAAGAAGAGAATTTTACATTTAGACTAATAGATGTTTTAGTGTACGAGTGGATATGAGAAAAATATGGATGTGTAGACTTGACTAGGATTTTCCCGTTCTGGTGGGACTGAGGACTAGAAATTTTATTTTGGAATAGACAACTCTCAAAATCGTTTTAAGTAAAGTTATCAAACATGAGAAAACGTGTTTCAAAAATTAATATGTTTTCATACTCTTTATCTTTGACATTTTTTATTTTCTTACACTAAAAATCAGCAAATCTCTTATAAAAAAATATAAATATTCATACATAACAATGATATGTCTGTTAGAACAATGAATATATTCTTTAATATGATTAGTTTTTCAATCTAAAAATGGATAATGACAGAGTTTGTTGTTTGTTGTCAGCTATTATGTATAATCTTTATTTTATATATATATATATATATATATATATATATATATATATATATATATATATATATATATATATATATATATATATATATATATATATATATATATATATATATATATATATATATATATATATATATATATATATTTAAAAAATAAAATACATAAATTTATAAATACTAAATACATATTTAAACGTACAAAAAATCACCCGACCAAAACCTTAAATGAGCAATGTAGATTGTGTGACTCTTTAAGACATGAAGACATTATAAAAGGCCATGGAACCACCCACGACTTCTCACTCAAAAGCTATACATTTTTCTCTTTCATATTTTTTACACAAACCCAAAAAAACAAACATGAGTCCCTTGAACTTGTCTATCCTCTTCCTCATTTCCTTAGCACTCGTCCCTACAACAACGTCTCAAGAAAGAGCACCTCATGGACTTGTATACGAAAGCCCTATAGCTTTTCCACCATCAGCCTATCTCTTCTTTCACCCCAATGCACCAACTTCAGAGACCAAAAACTCTTGTATTACATCCAAATGTTCACCACTTCCTATGGCAGCAGCTCTAGTAGAAGCCAATCAAAAATTTGAAAACAAAGCATCACAAAAACAAATTGGAGCTGGTGTTGTTGGTGGAATTATCTTTGCTTTTGCTTTTGTTGTTGTTTTAGTTGTTGGAGTTTACTATGTTAAGGTCATTCGTCAAGCTAACATGAGTAGAAACATTAATAATGTTCAGTCTCATGCTTAATGTAAATTCAATGATTATGTTGGAAACTTTTCCTTTTAACCTTATGAGTGTGTGTGTCATCTATATGTGTCAGTTATGCTTGTGATTATTGATTAATTAATCTCTAATTTAAATGTTTTAACAATTTTATGGCCTATTATTTCTAGTTTTTTTTTATAATTAAACTAAGCATTAGAAAGACATTATCAAAGTTTTTGAGAATGAATTTTCAGATTAAACATAAGTGAGGAGTGATTTACTTGGCACCCGATATTGATGTATGATCAACATCACACGAAAAGAAAAAGACTATTATTATTGAGTGATAAGAAAGGTACATAGGTAGTGTATTTATACCGTGCCTCAAACTAATTTTTCTAATAGATAGGAAAAGTAACAGAAAACTAAACTAAGGTTTCCGTAACGGAAAAGAAAATACATTAATATATATTATTTGATATTCATATCTAAGACATCCCCATAAACTGGACTGTGTAGATTGAGAAGTTTAAATTTAAAAAGATGTGTTGCAAAAGCTGGTTTATAGAGAAGTTTTGTCAGAAAGTCAACAACTTGAAGGCGAGTGTGAATGGGAAACAATTTGATTATGTCAGTTTCAATCTTTTCTTGAGTGACATGGCAGTCAATCTCAATGTGTTTCGATCGCTCATGAAAAGAAGGGTTGTGTGCAAGGTAGATGGCTGAGTTGTTATCTAAGAAAACTGAAGTTGATTTGTTGAAAGAGTTATTCAAGTCTTTGAACAAATGATGTAATCATTGTATCTCACATGCCATGCTTATCAAAGCACAGTATTCTGCCTCAGAGCTACTTCGGAAAATGGTGTTCTGTTTCTTTGACTTCCATAATATGAGTGAAGGGCCCAAAAAAATGCATATCCTATGATGGATTTGTGAGAAATCGTGCACGTTGCTCAATTCGAATCTGCGAAACCAGATAAAAGTAAGTTAGAATCTGTAGAGTAAAATATGTTGGCTAAGTTTGAGCTTAGAAACATGTTGGCTAAGTTGTTGAAGAGCAAGGGATATGTCCTGTCTAGTGGTGGTTAAATAAAAGAGTCGTCCAATTTATTTTTTATAATTTAGAATATTAAATACGTGATCAATGTTTTAATATTATTGATTTGTAATTATTATTTAAAAAATTTAAAATGTATGTAAGACATTTTTTATATTGTTTTATTTTATCATTTGTAATGTAATTTGATTTTGAAAAAAATAAATATTTCTATTAAGAAAATTGATTTTACTAAATAGATGGTACCGGGGCGGGGATATCTAAACCCAACATGAACCCATTTAGAACGGATTTGAGTTTTAATTCTCCATTCCCGTTTGAATTTGGGGCGGAGAATAAGGATTTGTGAATTCGAGTTTGGGTTTGGGAAAGATAAAAACCGTCCACAACCCATCTGATTGTTATGCCTAATTTTTATAGTGATGTTTTTTTATAAATCTAACAATTTAGTTCTCTATTCGTACATTTTATATTTTATAGAAAATTATTATTTCTTATTAAGATATATGTACCTTAATTTTAAAAAAAAAACTTGGTACCCATATCCGATACGAGTGTAACCGTACCTATGCATCATATGTGTCATGTGAACATGGTACAATTTCAAAGGTTTTGAGATAAGGTGTCATGTGAACATTCGGTCCAAAATAAAACATATATTATCTCCGCCTCATAATAAGTGTCTCATTTGCACTTTTTCTATGTCTCAAAGTACTTGTCTCTTTGGAATACCAATACAATCTTACTTCTTTTTTTCACTACTAAACCCTTATTTATTAGGGTAATGTTAACTTGTGTCTTTGGGGCCCAAGTTAAGAATTAAATTAAGAAATATTGTCTTGAAAATTGTGTACAAACTTTAATTAAAGTATAAAATTAATTTTTAAATTGTTTTTTCTAATACAAATTTAGCATAAGTTGGTTTCTTAACTTCTGTCTCAAAGACACAAGTTAGCATTACCCTATTTATTAGTTTTTATGTTTTTCAATTATTCCACTAACTATAATAAATAAAGGTATTTTAATAAAAGATTCTAATTTTATCATTAAAATCAATTCATCTAATCTAATGTTCTCTTAAGAACTGCGCAGAGCTCAAATAAGACATTTATTATGACACGTTTTATGTGCCAATGACACATGTTGAAACATATATGGACAAAGTGGGTGGCCTAATTACACTTGATGATTTTTATCATATTATTTTATGTTTAAAAGGACACCATCGGTTACCATTGTAAAGGCACCATTGAGAAACAGCAGAAACTGAAAAATCAATTAAGCAAAGATGAGTATCAGTAAGATTCATATAGTTATGTTTCCTTACCTTGGATTTGGTCACCTTAGTCCTTTTGTTCAATTATCCAACAGATTATTCTCTCATGGAATTCAAATCTCATTCTTGTCACCTTTATCAAACATTCCCAAAATCAAATCATCCTTCAATCTTAACCCTGCCATCCAAATCATACCCCTTAACTTCCCAAATAACATACCTAGTATCACTTCTGAATTGCACCCTGACATGTTTGGTGCACTCTTTCAAGCAATAGACTTACTGCAAGATCAGGTCAAAACCATTTTGTTGAAACTAAAACCCCATTTTGTTTTCTTTGATTTTGTACAAAATTGGCTACCAAAACTAGCTTCTGAACTTAGCATAAAATCTGTTTACTTCTCTGTCTATTCTGCAATTTGTATCTCTTATCTATCTCCACATTCAAGACTTTCTGTTGCTGATATTGAAAAAAGGGACCTCACTTATGAGGACCTTAAACATTCTCCATTTGGTTTTCCTCAAAAATCCATAATTTCTCTTCAAACCTTTCAAGCCAGAACTATCTTCACCATGATGGTCCAAACATTTGGTGACAATCCAACTGTTTCTGATAGAATCGCGCAGGTACTTAGTGAGTGCTCGTTGATAGTGTTGAAAAGTTGCAGGGAAATAGAAGGTCCTTATATAGACTATTATCAAAACCAGGTTAAAAAACCAGTTCTTTTTTCTGGAGTACTTGTTCCAGAGCCATCCATGGATGTGCTTGATGAAAAGTGGACCAAATGGTTAGATAATTTTCCAACACAGTCAGTCATATTGTGTTCCTTTGGCAGTGAAACATTTCTAAGCGACGATCAAATCAACGAACTAGCAATTGGGTTGGAGCTTACAAATTTACCTTTCATTTTGGTTTTGAATTTTCCATCAAATCTCAATACTGAGGTTGAGTTGGAAAGAGCTTTACCAAAAGGCTTCATAGAGAGAGTGAAGAATAGAGGAATTGTGCATAGTGGTTGGTTGCAGCAACAGCTTGTTTTGAATCACTCAAGTGTAGGGTGTTATGTGTGTCATGCTGGTTTTAGTTCTGTGATTGAAGCTATAGTTAATGATTGTCAGTTGGTGCTGTTACCTTTCAAGGGTGACCAGTTTTTGAATTCTAAGCTTATTGCTGATGATTTGAAAGCAGGGGTGGAGGTGAAAAGGAATGATGAAGATGGGTTTTTTCAGAAAGAGGATCTGTTGGAGGCTGTGAAAACTGTTATGGTGGAAGTTGATAAAGAGCCTGGGAAAGAGATAAGAGAGAATCATATGAAATGGAGAGAGTTTCTGTTGGATAGGGAAATTCAGAACAAATTCATCATAGATCTGGTTGAGCAGTTGAAGTGTTTGGCTTAGTGAATGTTTGGTTGGACTTTGAGTGAGGTAGAATCACTTTCATGTTTCAACAAAATTACAATGTTACTAGGCTTCAATGTGATACCAAATGGACACCTTGTAAAATAATATTTGTGCGATCCTTTACTTGTTTTTGTTCTCCCTTTTGAAGTGTTTCAATGTGTTAGATTATTATGTGTCTTTGAATGAATTACTATTTATTGTTTTTGAGTGGCAAGAGCTGATTATAACTTGATTGTCTTTGAGGATCTGTTGGAGGCTGTGAAAGCTGTTATGGTGGGAGTTGAATAAAATAAAATCCATAATCTGTTTGCCCAAAATATTAACAAAAAAATTCTTATTTGAAGCCAACTCGGTTTCATTTAACAAGTTAGTAGCAAAAGGTAGGGTTTTATTAGGCTTCATTTCCGAGTAGACAAGAAGAAAAAAGATTCATTGAAGCCAACTCAACTCCATTTTACAGGTTACTAGCAAAAGATAAGGCTTCATTTTCGAATAGACGAATGGAGGACAAAAAATATTCTTTTTTAGCCAACTCAATTCCAATTAAACTTCAATAGGTACCATTTTTGAGTAGACAAGGAAAAGAGAGATTTTCATCACATTGCCGCATCCTGAAATGAAATGAATTAATATGTCATAAGTTGGAAAAAATTGATCAAAATACCATGAATTCTATAAGGATTTGTTTTTCCATTGGACGACCCTACGAAAGACATAGTCCCATGAAGGGGTTCGGCCAATGGTTGGCCGGCCCTTTGAAATTAAATTTTTTTTTTATTTTAAATATAAATATGAAATATTTATTATAATTTTATATTTTTATTACAATTTTATATGATTTAAAATATAAAAACTTATATAATATAATACACATTATTATTTAAATATTAAAAACTCATTACATGATTTAAAATATTAATAACTTATATAATAGACATTACAATTTAAGAAATATTTTTTAAAATGATTTAAAAAATAAATAAAGTAATTTAGACGGGTCGATTTGACAGGCCTACTACATTTGGACATTTTCTACGCATATGGCCAATTTTTCGACATATTCCACATCTTATCTTTTCTTTCTCAAGATCGTCCATTTCGGTTCTAATTCTTGTATACTTTGGACGCCCTTTCTTATTCCTTCGGATTGTCTCGTCATGGCAAAGAGTGAATCCTTCATATGTTGGCCAATTTTGGTGGTGTGGAAGTCTAAGGAAGCTTTCGCTGTAGACTTTGAATACACTCAGAACCTTGAAAATATCTGGTATGTACATGTTGTAGTCCTGTCGTATACTGGCACATGTTGTGATTACATGGGAGCAAGGTAAATGAAATGCTTGAAACCTCCCACAATCGCACCACCCTCCCCTGAGATCAACGCTAAAAGTACCTAATGGTCGGCCATCGCGTTGATTAATGTTTTCGGCAACCATAAAACAGAATCTCTCGCGATCAAATTGAATGACATTATGGCTGCTAGATTTACTCGCTTTGTCGGTCATTCCCTTATTACAGTTTTCCGTGAAAGTTTGACTGGATGCCAACATTTTTGTCCAATCGTGTCCTCGTTTTCCAAACAACGATCCCAGACGATAGAACGTTGACTTGACCAATGTTGTAATAGGAAGGTTTCGGGTAGCCTTAAGTACCGAGTTCATAGCTTCGGCCAAATTTGTTGTCATGTGTCCCCACCGTTGTCCTCCGTCGAACGCCATCGACCACTTCTCTCTGGGAATATTGTCTATCCACTCCAAAGCTGCTTTATTTGTTCTTCGTATTTCGCCGCTGTAGTAGTTAAATGTTGCCTCTGTTAGTGCTTATCCTGTAGATGAAAATCAATAAGTCAATAAATAAAAATTGAAACATCAACTTATGAAGATGTAGGCATACCCATGTTGGCAACTGTTTTCCGTAGTTCTTTGTCTCTGAACTCACGCATGAAGTTTTGCGCAATGTGTCTGATACAATAAACATGTGAAGATGGAGAAAACTGCCACCCATTTTCTGGATCATCGTAAGCACTCTTGATTGATGGATGTCGGTCGGATATTAGACAAAGATTGGCCTGGGGGGTCACATTCATTTTCAAATTCTTGAGAAAGAAACTTCAACCATCCTTTGTCTCACCTTTAACCAATGCGAATGATATCGGGAAAATGTTACCATTTCCATGTTGTGCCACAGCCATCAACAAAGTCCCTTTGTACTTGTCGTACAACCAAGTTCCATCAATTTGCACAATCGGTTTACAGTAAGTAAAACCACGGATATATGGATCAAATGCCCAAAAAAGTCGGTGAAATTTCTATTTGTCACCCAATTGGGATCCGTCGTCTGTAATAATTGGCAATGCTTCCAACTGTATAACAGTTCCAGGAAGATATGTCTTCATCACCAACAACCATTGTGGTAAGTCATTGTAAGACGTCTCCCAATTCCGATAAAGTGATTCTACGACTTTAATCTTTGCAATCTAAGATTTTCGATATGAGATTCTATAACCGTATTTTTCAGTAATATGGGCTTATATCACTTTGACTTTTAGTGAAGCGTCACTGTTAACAAGTTCTCTGATGTTGTGGCTAATGATTTCAGAATTTAATTTTCTATAATCCTGTGATATAGAAGTTGTTGTGCAAGTGTGTGATCCGTTTATAGTAGCGATCTCCCATTATGTGTTCTTTTTACGCAATGCAGCTCTACATGTGAAGATGCATTATGGATTCTCACATTTTATTATATACCTTACTAAATCAGATTTATATACTGCATAGTCAAGATTGTTACTTATATGCCAATGTTGCAAAAAAAGAACACACGCTTCCTTATTTTCAAACACCAAACCTACTTCCAAGTTGTCACTAATATGGTTTGGTTTGTCGTTTTCAAAAATATAAGTGAGTTGAGAAGACTCCAGACATATGTTTGACATATGCACTGGTGGATTGTACAGATTAATGAATTAAGCATTTATTACCTGTGAATGCACGGGGAACACATCCTCTTTATCGCCATCACCGAATAAATCTTCAAAGCGAACATCATGGAGTTCATCGTCACTATATTCACCAACCTCCTCGTTCCGTATGAAAGGTTTATTATTTTGCGTTATTTCTTTATCAGCTGTTTGGCTCACTCCGTATTGATGCGAATATGATGACTGCGTTGGATATGCTTTGTCATCAAGGTGAACATATAACTCAATTGTCTTCAAATGAGGCATTGTATAATGACATTGGAACATTGATTTGACTGTGTTGTTTGTATCTATCTGCATCATTACGTAGAAGACACCACCATCTACCCCATTAGGGTGCAGAGTGTAGTATTATGGTGCAGTGTGTAGTATTAGGGTGCAATTTGTAGTAATAGGGATGCAGAGAAATCATGAAGGGGGAATCATGCAGAGTTAATTATTTTTTCTTCATCTAGTTTTCCAACGGATAATTGCATGGCTCACAAGTTTTAGTCATCTCTTTTTCTTATAAATAGCAACAAATTTTATTTATATGAATTGCAAAAACAACAAACTAAATCAATACTTCAACACCTTCATTGTTTCATCAGTTATAAAATATTCTAAATGGTAATGTTGTGGATGGGAGAAAACCATCGGGGAACACCGACCAATGTTGTCGCCTATGTAAGTTTTTTTTCTTCATACTTGTGTTTAATACTACATCATCACGTTGTATTTATTTTTCAATATTTGAAACAGTCTGACAACGAGAGATTTAGACTACATTCTCATGATATCGATGCACCAAGTGATGCAATCAAACCGTATTTGGAACGAGAAGGTTTCGCAAAAGTTGCAGAAATAACCACCATCAAAGTTGATTCAAAGCTCGTACTTGCTATGTTGGAGAGGTGGAGACCAGAAACACATATTTTCCATCTTCCAACAGGTGAATGTATCATCACTTTGGAGGATGTAAGTATGTCATTAGGTCTCCGTGTGAATGGTCCTACTCAGGTAGGCAGTGATGTATATATGAAAAAATTAGGTATTGAACCTTCGACATCCAATAAACATAAAGCCTGTGTTAAAATTGTTTGGCTACAAACTATATTAGCACAACTATGACAAAACCCAACACAATCCGATGAGGAGAACCTTCTCCATGCAAAAAGTTATATATTACTACTCATAGCTAAAGTATTGATGCTAGACAAGAGTCATAACTATTTACATTCTTCTTGGATACCCCTAATAAGAGATTTAGATAAATACAATAGATATAGTTGGGGTTCTGCTTGTTTAGCTACATTATATAGGCATGTGTGTAAAGCATGTAGGGTAGAGGTCAAAAGTATTGGAGGGTGTATTCTCCTACTAAGTGTTTGGACATATTGACATATACCACTAATTGCTCTAGAGAGTTCTGTCGATTCATACCATCCTTACGCAACAAGGTAAAAATTATTTACATTTTCTTTTCTTTTCTTTTCTTTTTTTTACATCCCTATATTACATTTTATTTCTTTTAACATTGCAAGATTTGTTCGAAGAGGCATGGCTTACCAAAATAATCCTCGGCACTACGTCCGAGGATTTAGATTTGCACTAGATAGATTGAGGGCTGACAATGTAAGTTTGTTACCACTACATTCTCTAAATATATGCTAACATCTGTATTTAATCTCTAACTATTATATTTTTTGTAACGGTTTATTTGGAGGCCCTACCCAAACTACCCAGAATGCGTCCTTGCAGATAGCCAGATTTGGAGCGCGACAACTTCAATTATCAATTTTCATATTGTTGAAATGCATCAAGTTGATAGGATAAAATTGCAATTTGAATTTCAACAAGATATTCCTTCTCAGCCTAGATGTCTACGTGAACAACATGAAATTGAAATGTCCAATACACGGAGAGATCATTGGCGCAATATAAATAGAGAAGAGAATAACAAGTGGAAAAACGGGGAAAAAAATTGACCCTACAAGGTAACATGATTAACGGTAACTATGTTCATAGTACTGCATATATG